TTTTTTTTTTTTTTTTTTTTTTGTTTTTTTACTCACTAGATTCAAGGAAGATTTTCTTCAGGGTGGTGAAGTTGGTGGACACTGTAAACTGGACAGTCATGCGTTGATGTCGGAAGGGCAGCGCAAAAGCCCCCTGCAGTCTTGGTAACATGATTCTGCTCTCTAAAAATATGTCTCTGAAGGATTTGTGTTTGTTTTGGCATTTTTAGATCTTGGAAGACACTCTAAAATGGAAAAGGTTACCTAATTTGTACAGACACGAGCTTCTGAGGGATGGTGGGGGCAGAGGAATCCCTCAGTTTAGTCGGAACTGAATAGTGGCTTATAAAATTTTAAAAAGCAGCTATAGAATTTGCTGTTTGTAAATGAAAGAAAAATTATTTGACATGAAGTATTATTAACTCACAATTTCTGTATGTGTTTTGGGAAGCACGTTTTATAAAGCATACTGCCCCTCCCCCAAGTACAGCGTCGGGCTAGTGAAAAAGTGAGCCCACCCATGTAATTTCTGTTCAGCTTAAAAAGCAGAGCATTTTAGGCACTAGACACTCCCACCTTCCTCTCTCTGAGCCAGATGCCGCCCCAACTTTCACCATCATTGATGAGATTTTGAGCTTTAAAAGTTTTTATTTTTAAACAATTTAAGGCTCATGGAAATCTAAACATAGTGCAGGAGTTCCCATCGTCCCATTGCTCCAGCTTCCTGGAGTGATAATGTCTCATTTAACCACAGCACAATTACCAAAGCCAGGAAACTGTCACTGATACAGTCTTATTAACCACCCATACATGGGCTTCTCCCGTGCTTACATTTGCACCCCCCCCCCAAATGTGTACTTTAGAAAATTTATATCCCATGTCTAGGGACATGTGACCACCACCCTTGTTAAGAGGCAGAATCCTCTGCCATCCACAAAAGCTCATGCATTTCCCTTATGATTGTTTGGACTACTCTTATGTAAAGTTGATTTCTCAGGTCATTCATGCTGAGCAAAATGGCAGTATGGTAGTTGTCAGTTTGCTTGGACATTTTTCTGAGGAATTAGCAAACTGTTACAAATAGATGCTTCTTCCATTCTGCAAGGCATTTTCATTCCTACTCCATTTTGATATCTGATTCTATATTACAGTTCCTCAGGGTATAATTATATTATTTGTTGTGGGGTAACGCATTATTCTAAGATATACTCTAGGGCATAGTTACATTTATTATTTACTGCTGTTACAAATTACCCTGAAATAAAGCGGATGACATTTAGGATTTCACCCCATTCTGATGTCAGCGTGGGAGGAGCCCAGCAGAGCCTCATGAGGTCGCAGTCAAGCTGTCGTGGGTGGGGCTGTTGCCATCTCTAGGCCCAGCTAGGCTTTAAAACCTGACTTCCAAGCTCACGCAGGCTTTTCTCGGAGTCTGGGTTTCTGTCTGGCTATGGGCCGGAGGGTTCAGTCTTCCTTCTATGGGTCTCTTGGTAGTGCTACTCACACACAGCGTGGCAGCCAGCTTCCTCCAGAGCACATGTCTTCCTTGGAAGCTGCGGTGTTGTGTAACCTAACTTCAACAGTGACATGCTACTGTGTTCTGTTGCTTAGAAGTAAGCCATTGAAGGCTGGAGAGATGGCTCAGCCGTTAAAGGCTAGGCTCACAACCAAAAATATAAGAAGTAAGCCATTGAGCTATGACCATATTTGGGGGTTGGGGGGCATGAATCTCCATTTCTTTTCTTTCTTTGTTGTCTTTTCTTTTTATAATTTATTTAGCTTATTTATTTTATGTACATTGGTGTGAAGGTGTCAGATGCTCTGGAACTGGAGTTATAGACAGTTGTGAGCTGCCATGTGGGTGCTGGGAATTGAACCCAGGTCCTCTGGAAGAGCAGCCAGCATTCTTAACCACTAAGCCATCTCTCCAGCCTTTCTTTCTTCTTCTTAAAAAATGTTGTTTTTTTTGTTTTTTTTTTTTTTTTAAATAATAACCAAGTATGACCTGGAACTTGTGGTCCTCCTGCGCCAGCTTCCCAAGTGCTGGGATTACAGGTACACGATATCATGTTTATCACTTCCACCTTTTGAAGGGAGAAGTAGTAAGGAACTCTTGTGGCTGGGGAGGCAGCTTAGTGGGTTAAGTGCTTGCTGCTGAAGCATGAGACCCTGAGTTCTAATCCTCAGCACCCACATAAAACACCCAGGCACAGTGGTGCACATCTGTAACCTTGATGGCTCACTGTCCGGTCAGTCTCGCTGAACTTGCAAGGTCCAGGTTCGGAGAGAGACCCTGTCTAAAAGCAATAAGGTGGAGAAGTGATTGAGGAAGCCATCCTGGCATCAGCCTCTGACCTCTGCATGATGCAGGGAGAGAGCTCATTTGTATACAAGAAAGGAAGGAGGGACAGGAAAAGGGGAGTGGGGGAGGGACAGAGACTCATGAATGGGTCCTAAACCACCGCCATGTTATCACATTGTGCTCTAAGTGATTCTGTTTGATATATTTCACATGAGTTACGATCTCACAGAGGGCTGCTGGTGACCTTTAGTTAGCCTTAGACATTCCGTTTTACATGCTGGGGTTTGCCATTTATTCAGATGAAAATTGTACCCGTGGCTTCCACAGATGTTTCTCAATCTTCAGGGAAGCTTTCTTGCCTTCTATCCTTCTGCGGCTCTAGATGGTCTTGGAATATAATCTGTCTCAGAATCCAAGACGTCTACTGTGCAAGTTTCCAATGCCTGCACATCTTTTCCTTTAAGCCCCCCAAATGACAGGACACCTTGTTGAATCTCTATTAATTCATCAGTCTTTCTCATTTTGTGGTGGCTTCCCAATTGAACTGACTTACGAGTTAGCCTGAATTTCGAAAGCATTTTTGTTCCTGTCTCAATATTAAAGTTAATATCAGAGTCTGTAATGTCAGCAAATTAGGCAAGGTACTCCGTAGGACTGCTTTATAATGGAAATAAAATCTGCCTCAGGGGCAGGTTCCAAGTTATGGTGTTGAAACAGGACATTTGGAAGAATCACTTCAAATTATGTCACAATTCCAGGTTTGCTGAACTGCAAGGCTACACCCAGCTCAATTTCAGGCCTATAGAAGATGCTAAGTGTGACATCGTTGTTGAAAAACCAACATATTTCATGAAATTAGATGCAGGTGAGAAGTCGCTTTGTGTGTTACTTGTGTATTGATTGGTGCTTCTATTTTTTTTTTTTTAAGAAAAAGATTTGTTTTTATTTTATGTGTATGGGTATTTTGCCAGCATGTTTATCTGTGCTCCACATTCATGCAGTACCCGTGGAGGCCAGAAGAGGGCGTCGGATCCTCAGGAACTAGAGTTTCGGATAGTTGTGAGCTACCATGTTGGTGCTGAGAACTGACCCAGGTCCTCAGCTAGAGTGGCCGGTGCTCTCAATCACCTCGCTGTCTCTTCAGCCCCACATGGTTGTGGATATGCTTGTAGTGGTTTTCTGTGTATTTGTTGAAAGCAGTGTGAAAAACACTGGTTTTTCCCCTTCTAACCTAGATGAACTGGTTTCAACTTCCTGTTATCTTACACCTTTGGTGTTCTAGAAGAAACCATCACATTTATGTGAAATTATTCCATCAAAATCAAGGTGAAAGAAAGTGGCCCGAGTATACTTTTTATAATAATATTTACTTCGTCTGATTTCTCTAATCACTTTCATTACATGTATGTTTCACTATACATACATAGTTATATTTATATTAGCGGCCACAGGTATACTGTGAGAAAGAAATGCCCATCTCTTCTCATGGCCTACTTTCTGTAAGTAAATGAACTTAAAACTCTTTTGGAAGTTACCACTGGGGTATATTCTTGAAAAAAAAAATCAGAATTATTTTCCCATCATGCCTTCAGCGCTAGGTCTTGGCCTGCAAGCATAACTTTAACTCTGGCAATTAGCGGCCCTGGAGAGGAGAGACACAGCACATGTTATATTATCCCTCTCATTATGAGAGATGGAGATTACAGGGCAATGTCCTATCAAAATTCATGAGTGGCCCGGCCTACAGTGAAATATAGAGAGCCCTCTGTCACGAATACTTGAGAATTACCATAATTTATTGATCATAGTTTTAATGTGCTCTGCCATCTCAAGTCATAATTCTTATATTACAAAGTATTAGACTCAGAAATCAGACAAGTTTGGCTTTTTGAAATAAAGGCAAATTTAAAATGCTTTGTTCAAGGTTCTGACTTGTTTTTTTTTAAATATGCAAATGAAAAAGTGGCAGAGGAAACCCGTGATCTTCCTGTAAAAGAGTTGTGTGTGAAGCATGAAATTTATGCAGATCATATGCAATAAAAATATGTATGCAGATTATCTGCAATAAAGCATGTAAAGTGGGAAAGAATGGGCTGAGATAGATGTGTGCCATTGCTTTCCTGTATTTGTTACCCAGCCGCCTTTCCCTCTAACTTACACCATCATCCAGTTTTCTTCTGCGTCCTCACTCTTACTTTTAGGACAAGGAACATCGTAACGGAACTTGGGTAAGCCTCACTTCTCCAGCTTGCAGCCTGTGTTCACTTCCCCATTTTAAATCCTCGTGACACCAGGCACTGTCATGTGCACCCTGCATGCCGGAGTAAATGTTAGGGACTCCCTAAATGCTAAGGGAGAGCTATGGTAAGCTGCAGTGTCCACCGAGGGAAAGGGGACATTCACTAACGCAAGCTTTCCTTGTGAATTTGAAAATGGGCTCTTGGCTAAGATTTTTCTGAGTCACGAAATGATTCTTTCCAGGCAGGGATGGCAAGATGGCTGAATGGGTAAAGGCACTTGCCGCCAAGTATGACCGCCTCATTCTGATCCCCGGGGCCAGCTCCCGCCAGTTGTCCTCTGATTCTACACACACACACACACACACACACACACACACACACACACACACACACACACACAAACAAATAAATGTAAAACTGTTCACCAAGGAAGCTATTTCCACAGACTGGAGTATCTACTCCTCTTACTTCCCGGCAGGCACTCTGTGTTATAATTTACTGTGGGAATAAAGTCAGGGTATTTCATGGTTTCTGCCTTTGAGAATTACTGATTTTCATTCAAAGGTTGGTTTGAAAATGTGTATTTTACTTGTTATTTCATAGGAAGTCATTCCATTTATATTTGTACAATTTCCAGGCTGACTCCTGAGTCCCATATACATAATTCAAAAGTATACTTTTTCTTTCTTTCTTTTTCTCTCTTTCTCTCTCTCTCTCTCTCTCTCTCTCTCTCTCTCTCTCTCTCTCTCTCTCCTTCCTTCCTCCCTTCCTTCCTTCTTTCTTTCTTTCTCTCTCTCCCCTCCTTCCTTCCTTTCATTCTTTCCTTCTTCTCCTCCTCTTCCTCTTCCTCCTTCATTGTTTGTTTTCTGAGACAGGGATTCTCTGTGTAGCCTTGGCTGTCATGGCACTCACTCCATAGACCAGGCTGGACTCAAATTCTGAGATCCACTTGCCTCTGCCTCCAGAGCACTGGGATTAAAGACATGTGCCACCCACATGACAGCTCTGGATGGTCTGTGACTCCAGTGTCCTCTTCTGGCCTCCAAGGGTACCAGGCATGCATGTGGTGCACAGACACACTTGCCGGCAAAACACCCATATACAAAAAACTTTTCAGAAGAATAATATAAGAAGTGATTAAATAGAGAAAAACAGACAAGAATTAAAAACCACCGCAGTGGTAGTGGTTGTGATTATTGCCTGTACTTCTGTGTACAGGTGTTGTTTGGTTGATTTAAAACAAACAAAATGAATAATTGGAAGGAATGATCAGTCATCAGGGCTGGACAGCTCCTCGTGCTGCGTTAAATAGACCTATGTGGTTCCCCCACCCCCACCCTGGGAACTTAATGCTCTCTTATGATTTTATGTGTAGGAGAAAATGCATTCCTGATTTCAAAATAATCAATTTTAAAAGTAAGATGTTGAACTCAATACTTCTTCAAGTCGACAAGTACGGGTGTCTAGCCCATATTTATGAGAAACATGTTTCCTCATTGATTTTTTTTTTTTTTTTGAGACAGGGTTTCTCTGTGTAGCTTTGTGCCTTTCCTGGAGCTCACTTGGTAGCCCAGGCTGGCCTCGAACTCACAGAGATCCGCCTGGCTCTGCCTCCCGAGTGCTGGGATTAAAGGCGTGAACCACCACGCCCGGCGTTCCTCATTGATTTTTAACTAGAAATTAAAAAAAAAAAACTGTAAGCAGAGGAGAATGGGAAAAAAATTGTTCTGCTTGTGCATTATTCTCTTGTTTAACTCGGCTCCCTCTTTCCTGACACTAGGTGTTAACATGTATCACCACTTCTGTGATTTCCTCAATCTCTACATCACCCAGCACGTTAACAATTCCTTCAGTACAGACGTGTATATCGTGATGTGGGACACCGTAAGTAAGCGTCTGCTCTCTCCGTTTGCACTGGCTTGGTCTTACTCTTCCACCATGTGCCTCTGACCTTGTGTGACCTTTCTAAGATGCATGCTTAAATATATGCCTACCCATCCATAGACTCACACATGTCTAGATGTGTTCAAATGTGTTTCTGTGGGTCCCCTGACATATGCATACGCACACGGGCAGGCACATATGGATGTGCAGTCCTTTGTTGCTGTTATTGTTTTGTTGGATTTTGATTTTATTCAAGGCAGGGTCTCATGTAGCCCAGGCTGACCTTGAATTGACTATGTAGCTGAGGATGGCGCTTTGCTCCTCTTGCATCCACTTCCAGATTGCTCAGATTACAATTTCAGTGCTGGGGATTGAACTCCAGTCTTCATGCGTGCTAAGCAAACACTCTGCCAACTGAGCCACATCCTGTCCCATAGATATGAGTGATCGACCCTAAGTGCTTTGAATTTCAGAATGAAGTAGTGGAGAATTTCCTTCCTTACCGCGTGGATGGAGTTCTCAAATGCAGAGTTCTAGTGTCTGCCTCAGTGCTCCGCCCAGACGTGAAGCCTGTGTGACTCAAGGTGGTAGCGCTTCTGCTTACCCTAGCCCTTTGGACTACCCCTCCCCCACCAACTCTGGAGATGGAACCCAGAGCCTCACGCATGCTAAGCAAAAGCAGGCACTCCAGCCCCTATCTTTTGCTTAATAGCAGCTTTCCAGCTGCAGGCAGCTTCATACTAAGTGGCCTGTTTTTTAGCTCACTGTCTAGGGTGCATCTTACACACGTATCTAAATCGGAAGCAACGTTGTCTGGCGCGCACCATCTGCGTTTCCAGAGAGCAAAGCACGCCAGCCGATTCATAAATAGTTCTGCAGACAAGGAGAAAGAAAGCATTTCCTGACCCTACTTCCTAGACAGTAAGCTTACAGTACAGTTGTCGCCATAGCTGTCTCAAAGAACTCTGGGGTGGCTTCAAGTCCTTGGAAAACTCGTTCTGCATTCCTGGCATGCTTTTGCTTTCTTTATCTCTGGCTCCGCACCCACTTCCCTTTCCGTCCAGAGTCCAGTTTTACCGCCACTTCAGGCTCATTTGTTGGCAGTGTTTCTGTGAGCAAGGGGGACAGTGTCCTTCTCGTTCCTTCTTTTTGCTTAAGTGGGCCAGTAAAACATTTCTCAGCAATTCTGCAAGACTTTAAAAAAAAAAAAAAAAGCCCTTAAAAAGAAATCACATCCATACAGTGAGGGATTTGGATCAGGATTTTTATTAGTGTATTTTACAGATAGGTGAGTGTTCTAAGGTAACCTAGTGAGGGGTGGAGCCGAGGATTCCAGCTGGGCTCAGAAGACACCTTCTGTATAGTCCTCTGAAGAACTTGTGAGGTAAAGAAAATCTTATCCCATGCCTTCTAGAAGCTTTCTCATAGCATCTTGCATGCCTGTTTACATCTTCCTTAAGTGGACTGAGTTAAAGCGAGCTAGCTTCTAAACATCCTGCCTGTTGGGTGTCTGCTAGGGAAGAACAGGGTTCATGGGTACCATGAAGATCCCTGCCAACAAGACACATGATTTTCACGCAGTAGGACTGTCATTCTGTTGGTATAAGAGGCATGTATGTATGTGAGCAATGTGGTTGGCTTCCCTGGTGTTACCCTGTCCTTTGCTGATCCTCTAGCTTCTCCCTTATAAACCTCCCCTCTAGGCGGACTTTTCTTTCCCACCAGTCAGTTCCCAAATAACTATACAGAGACTTATTATTAATTATAAATGCCCAGCCAATAGCTCAGGCTTGTTACTAGCTAACTCTTACATTTTAAATCAACCCATATTTCTTATCTACACTATGCCATGTGGTTTGGTACCTTTTCTCAGTGCAGCAAGTTCATCTCCTGCTTCCTCTGCATTGCCTGCAACTCCCAAGACCTGTGTTCCCCTTCTTCTTTGCATTCTCTTTTTTGTCTGCAAGTCCTGCCTAACCTCTACCTGTCCAGGTATTGGTCAGTCAGTTTCTTTACTAAACCAGTCACAGTGCCATATATTAACAGTGTAAAGGGATATTGCATACTCTTCTCTTGGTCCAAGAAGTCCTTGATAACTTCCCAGTCAAGTTCTTCATATGAGCTGCTCTGCTCAGTCACTCCAGAATCCAGTGCATAAAAGCCTGTGGGTTGCCTGGGGACCTTATTACATGATTGTAGTTGATTGATACTACGTGATTGTATTGTTCACAGTTGAGATTTTGTTAGCAAAGCCTTAAGTCAGTGGTTTTCAACCTGGGGTTCATGACCCCTTTGAGGGTCAAATGACCCTTTCACAGGGGTCACCTAAGACCATTGGAAAACACAGATATTTACGTTATGATTCATAACAGCAAAATTACAGTTATGACGAAGCAATGAAAATAATTTTATGATTGAGGGTCACTACACCATGAGGAACTGTGTTAAAGGGTCACAGCATTAAGAAGGTTGAGAGCCACTGCCTTAAGTTAACCAACACTGGTACTGCCACAGGGGGTCCCGAGGACCTAGGCCGTTAAGATGTTACTGCACAGAGCTCAGCACTGTGACTGTCCCCTTTAGGCACCAGGCGCCTGGGCAAAGCTGTCAGCCTCCTAAATCATTTAAGGCCACTTCTGATGTTGAGGGTTTGGAACATTTTTACTATTACTTTTTAATTATAGGGATAATAACTCATTATCATGAGGTCAGACATTACGAAAGCATGTGAGGTTTTCTTTTAGTCTCTTCTGCGCCCTCCAATTTCATTGTCTCCCTGGGCAGCGGGGGGAAGCAGTTAGCTTATGTGTAAGTCCCTTCAAGACTTTTTGTCTGAATAAATATAAATATATCCTTAAGCAAAAAGTATGAGAATTTGTATAAAGATCTCTATGTATATCATTTGTATAAAGATTTATTTATATCATTATATAAAATATGCTCTGAGATTACAAGGGCATCTTTCCATGTCCTTTTTTGAGTGGTGGCAGCATTTTTCCATTTGATGGATTTCCTGCATGTGTTCATCTCTCTTCACCCCACACTTCATTTGTTTCTGATTCTGAGCTATCTACTGGATGCTATAAACGTCTTTTCCATATGCAATATTCTCCCTGTATCTATGGGGGATTACTGCCAAGGTCCACTCTGGACACCCAAATCCTTAGATACTCAAGTCCTCTGTGTTACGTGGTATAGAATTGCATGTGACCATGCATATGCTGCTAGATGCTGTGAAACTACCTCTAGGTTGCTTACATACCCCAGTGCATGCAAACAATTGTTATACTACAGTGGTAAAGAGAAAAGGTTTGTATATATTCAATAAAGGCACAGTTACTTTTCTGAATATTTTCTACCAGTGTGAGTGAACCATCAGATCCAGAGGGCTGACTGTGTCCTTCTCTTCACACACTCATTCACCCTTTATTACTCCTGTGGGCAGAGTCCTACAGTAGTGTTTCTGAGGCTCTGGGCATGTTCAAATTTGAGATCTGCACAGGAGGATTTTCTGGTTTGTTTATTTGTTTGTTTTTTTCCCCTTGAGGAGTACCCAAGTATTCTTCAGTGTGAGGTGGAAGTTGCCCCTCCCACCACTGTGCTAGATAATTTGAATTTGTTTCTAGATGTGGTTATTCTCAAGAAATTCACAAGTTTCCTGGGAAGAGGCCGGTCAGAATCACTCTACTTTATTATTAAAATTCCTTTCAGACGTACCTTATTTTATCTAGAGTATTTTGTCTCAAGAACCTGTATAAAATTACTTCTTTTAGTTGCTCTTTATTTATTATTGAGCAACAGCACAACGGTTTGATTGTAGATGGTCATGAAGGGCTTTATTGGACTGTTGCTGGAGAAATCACTTCTGCGTCACGATATCTAGCAATTCTCCATACTTTGAATTATCTACAACAGAGGAAGCATAAACATTTCAAAATCTTAAAAAAAGAAAAGGATTCTCTAAACACAAAGAGACATAGCATAATGGACAAGTGACTGCAGACTTTGGAGTCCCATGACTAGAGTCTCCTCCGTCCCTTGGCTGAGTTCTTCGGTCTAAGTCACACCATTTTAAAATGGACCGAGCCCCTCCCTTTACCCGGTAGAGCTCATAATTAACTTCTGTCTTCCAGGAAGGAGATGCATTTTGGTAAACTCACTAGGACAGGTTCCCACTGAGAAGTAGCTGTCCTGGAGTAGATGAGCATGAAGTCTGAGACCACAGACTGGGTTTGACCACAGCCCTGTAACTCACTAGCTCTGCAATTTGGGCAAACTATTTGAATTTATATACGGTTTCCTCGTGTATAAAATGAGGCTGAGGACATCAGCTCGCCCATTAGAGTTGCAGGGTTGTTTGCTGAATTAATAGTCTATAGTGCTTAGAACAATGCCTGGGATGTGGGAAGCATCCCAGATACTGTTAGTATTATATGTTGTATAAATGTGGTGTTACTAGTGACATTATTAATGTGAATGGGGTATTGTCACGTTATTCATTATTCAATGGGGAGAATATTCATTTAGTGTTTAAGCTTTCAAGCCATTTGCTTTGAAATTTCTTTCCAAATGCAATCTACTTGCTATAATGGATTTTGCTCAGTGAGCATATTATTGTGTGTATAAATGATGTCATATGTATGTGTCCTTTTAAGCATCCTCTGGTGACACTAACTTCTTGTTTCTGCCTTCAGAGCTCTTATGGATATGGTGACCTGTTCTCCGATACCTGGAAAGCATTTACTGATTATGACGTCATACATTTGAAAGCCTATGATTCCAAAAAGGTACTGGAAACCTATTGAAATGTCTTTAAGTAACTGTCAGGTCCAAGTGACTCATATAATAAATATTTAATTTGAATTTCTCTTGGCTGTTACCATTGATTTCTGGCTTCTCCTTTTTTATTATCATTATAGCTAGACTTCTTGGAAATAAACCTTCAATCCTTTCTATAAACTTTCTGAAAATATGAATTTTATTTTCTTTGACATAGTTTGCTAGTTAGACTATTTTGGTAGAAGATGGAAAAGAGTTAGAATTTACTTTCTAAAATGAGGACTGCTATTTTGGCGTGAAGGATGCACTTACTTACTGTGCTGTTCTGTGAAGGGTGCACACTTACCATGCTGTCTTCTAAACTGTCTTCCTTCTTAGGTGTGCTTTAAAGAAGCCGTGTTTTCATTGCTGCCCCGCATGCGGTATGGCCTGTTTTATAACACGCCTCTGGTAAGCATCTAAGATGACCATCCTGCATTTTCAGAGATCATCTGAAATCCCAGGGAGGAGCATTCGCTGTAACATGACCTGCTTTTGTTTCAGATCTCTGGCTGTCAGAATACTGGGTTATTCAAGGCCTTCTCTGAGCATGTGCTGCATAGGCTGAACATCACTCAGGAGGGACCCAAGGTAATGGATGTGTTATGGATCTGAGTAGGCTTGGTTATTCATCTCTAATCAATGCCACCTTTGGAGAGAAACACATAACCAAGAAGCAGTGTTTGCTATGGTAATGTTGTCTGATCTGGAGTCCTCTGAATTCAGGAGTCAGTAGCCACTGAAAATAAGCTAAAGGGTACTGTAAGAATATGCGTTAGTCTCCTTGTCTTTGTCTATTTCTTTGCCCAGATCTCCCTCCCTTCTCCCATTTAATTCTTGTAATCCCTGCCCAAAACAATCTACTCTACCAACCATCAACCAAGTAATAGTGTAATGAGCAGGTTTTGTCTTCCATGGCTAAAGTGGATATACTTATGTCTACTCATAATCGACATATAATTGTACACATTCCTAGGGTGCAGTGTTATACTTTGACACAATATAATTATCAAAGCACTTGTGTTACCTCAAGCATCAATCTTTGTTGTGGTAACATTCCACTCTTTTCGCCTCGCTTTTTGGAAATAGACAATACCTTACTGTTAAGCCTAGTAACTCTACATGGGCATCGACACAGACCTCGATTCTCCAGTATCTGTAACGTGTCTCTAGTAACCACTCCATCTGTTTCCTTCCTTCCCTCCATCCCAGCGTCCACTACCCACCAGTCTATTCTCTGCTTTTCTGGTATTCTCCACTAGTCTGTTGTATACATTTATGACATCAGCTCTTTTAGCTTCTGCGTCTGAGGGAGAGCATGCAGTAGTTGTCTTTGTGTACCTGACTCACGTTAACATAATGCCTTCCATTTCCCTCCATGCTGCAATGAATGACAGGTTTTATCCCTTTGTATAGTTGAGTAACATTCCTGAGATAATGGTTAAGAAGTCAGGCTAATAGTCACCCTTCTCCAAGTATATCTTCAGTGACTTTCCCCTCTCTGGGAAATTGCATTTGAGATTTGGGGTTCATTTTATTATTATTTATTTTTTTTTTTTGCTTGAGCACATCTAATATTATTCTAACTTTTCATTTTGATCGCAGGATGGGAAAGTTCGAGTTACCGTTCTTGCACGCAGCACAGAATACCGGAAAATACTGAACCAAAATGAGGTTAGTGTTTTGGTATGAACTTTTAATATTATCATAATGACTCTGCCTTCCATGGCTAATGTACTGTTTTTTTCGTATTGCATTAAACGTCTTTATTTGAAATGATTGGTTTCTAGACATACATAATGGTCGATGCTTACTGCAACTACTGTCGTTAGCGCCTCCAAACTCCCATCCCATCCGGATCTGCTTTATTGTAAATGTACACCTGCACCAGCTCTATGTAGAACACAGGCAAAACCAAAGCCAAACAAAACTGTGAGTCCTGTCTGGGCTGCAGCAGGAGGCTGAACATTCTCCCTCCAGGCAAACTAGTAACAACATGCAAGCATGCCTTTTAGGAGATGATTGATCTCATTTGGTATTTCTGTAGCATCCGACAACACATACAATTGGAAGAGATTCCATCCATTTGAATGGCTGAACATCTTGGAAACTGCTCCTGGGCATCCACTTCATTTTAGCAGCACAAGATCATAAATAGCATCTGGTCTCATACTGGGCAGATAATCATGGGAGCCTGGACCTAAGACTGTTCTTCACTGTTGTTCCACTGTGAACCAAGAAGAGGTTGAGTGTATCTGTGACCCTGGACCATCAGGAAAGGGCAGGTCAGGGAACATCATTGAGCCAGTGAGAAGGAAGCAAGGCACAGTGCCAGCCCCTGCTGTGATGCTGGCCTGATACTTTCAGACTCTATGGGCAGACTGCACAAAAGTTTTGAGATGAGATTAGTAATTCAGCTCCCAATGGCAAGCCCAAGAGTACCCAGCATGCTGCTCTTCCTTTAAGACAGGTTATGGATTCCAAAGGGTATGCATGACCAGGGCAACAGTACGTTGACCACACTGATTAGTGAATAGAGAAGACTCAGGCGTGTGTGTAGCCCGGGCTGACCTTGAACCCACTATGTAGGCTTAGCTGGTCTTGAACTCACAATCCTGCTGCCTCAGCCTCCTGGGTGCTAGGAGTACAGCCTGGCTCCCAGGTGGTCTGGTTAAATGATGGTGACTGCAAACTTGCCCCAGCACAAGGTTTGTTGAGATAATCACGTGTGGTCGGAAATTAGAGAAAGGACTCATTCCAGGACTCTCAGAGACTTGGAATTCCTTTGATGTGAGTCCACCTCATTAAATGATTAAATCTCCTGCTACCTAATTAATTCTCTCCTGGGGAAAAAAAGGGATTGTTTGTAGAGGGAAACATCCATCTTGTGGCTGCTCATGTGTTGTGCAGTTGTGCATACATGTGTATAAAGTGGAGTCACTAATTAGATTGCATCCGACCATTCATATGCACTGCTTAAGAACAGAGTGTGGTGAGAAGAGCAGGATTTGGTTCCTCCCTCCCTTCCTCTCTCCCCCTCTCTCTCCTTCTGTGCCAGGGATTGAACCAAGGGCCTTCTTCATCTTGGACAGACTCCTTACACTGCTTCTGCTTCCTGCCCAGATCAATGCTTTCTGTGACTGTTGATGTTACTGTTGTTGTGTAGGACCACCTAGTAGAGATGCAAACCATCACAGTGTCAGGTTACAGTGCTGTGAGGGATGTGCAGAATCAGGATGCTGCTTTGATAGCATATTCCTCATCCTCTGTTACTTTCTGTCTGCCAGAATGATAGCCAAAGGAGATTTTAGAAATGACATAGAAATAGCAATTTTTTTTCTGCCAATACTTCAGTATTTCCAGAGGATGGGGCCCAAACTTGTTGTGGTTTGTTTGAAATGAGACACTGGATGAAAAGAGCCATCTCAGCATAGTGTCTGAAGCATTGTGTATTAGTTACTATGCAGCTCTGTGTTATTCATTAAATGACACTGTTTACTAGGCAAGAAAAGCCGCGAGGCACAACCAAACCCACTCTAAGAGTTTATTAGGGGGAGGAGAACAGAGGGGAGTGCTTAGGCCTATTTGAAGATCATGCAGGGAGAGAGAGAAGGGATAGATGGAACCCACTTTTTATAGGCTCCCCCTGTACATGCACATATGAGTTTACAAAGCCATGCCACACATGCACAGAGATTGTGCATGATCACGCTGCATGCAAATTACGTGATCATGAAGCACGTGGATTATGTAGGACATAAGGCCCTGGGATGACTAAGCTTCTTGCTTGGCTATTGGATGGCGCATATATGGTCATGTAGCTGGGGGAGTGGCCAGGAATTTCAACAGTGTGTCACCTCATCCTCAAAGCACCCAGTTGCTCTGAAGTTATAGGGAAATAGGATGATGAATTCAAGAGACAGGCTCAACATTTGAATTCAAATGAGGTCTAAAATAATAGACATAAATGATGTTTAATGCATACAAATTTTTATCTGTAAAAAATTAATAAACTTTAGGAGTTGAGAAGACGCCCAAAGTGAGTGCCATACGAGCCTGAAAACCTGAGTTTGACCCTCAGAACCCATATATACAAGATCCAGACCTAGGGACTGGAGAGATGACTCAGTGGGTAAGAGGGCTGATATAAAAGCCAGGCATGGCTGCATGTGCCTATAACCCCAATGTTGGGGAACTGCAACATGCAGATGCCGGAGCTCCCTCGCCAGCCAGCTGAGTCAGAACAGTAAGTTTCCGGTTCAGTGAGAGATCCTGTCTCAGAATATTAAAGAGGAGAAGGGCCTAGAAAAATGGCTTAGTCAATAAAGTGCCTGCTATGCAGGCATAAGGACCTGAGTTTGGATCCCCAGAACCCACATACAAAAGCCAAGAGTGGTGGCATTCTCCACCACAGCACCAGGAGGTGGGGTGAGCAGCAGAGACAGGTGGGTGCCCAAAGCTCACTGACTGACCGGTCTAAATTGGTGAGACAGGGAGAGAACCTGTCTCTGGAAACAAAATTGAAGAATCATGAAGGAGCAACAGCTGTTGTTGCTCTTGGGCCTCCAAATATGTACACACCTGCAGGCACACATTCACACATCCACTCTGACATGTACGACACACACCACACAAGTTAAAAAAAAAATAAACAGTGATGTAGAAAGTGGTGGAGGAAGACATCGATGTCCTCTGATTTCTGTTATGTATGAAGACAGGTGAATGCACTTTCTTTTCTTTTTCTTGGTTTTGGTTTTTCGAGACAGGGTTTCTCTGTGTAGCTTTGCGCCTTTCCTGGAACTTGCTTGGTAGCCCAGGCTGGCCTCGAACTCACAGAGATCCACCTGGCTCTGCCTCCCGAGTGCTGGGATTAAAGGTGTGCGCCACCACCGCCCAGATGAATGCACTTTCATATATGTACACACACACACACACACACACACACACACACACACACACACACACACAGCAGGTGTGGCTGGCTCCAGGGCAAATGAAGTGCATAGATTTTCTGCAGAGCAACATGTGAGGCTCTCCTCTGTACACATGGGCACTATATGAACACAGAACACAGGCACAAACAAAACAAATTTTAATTAAAAAAAAACTTTAGGATTTATAAAGGAAAGTAGCAAAGAATCATTCTGCACGTTCTTCTGTTTTTTTTCCAGCTGGTAAATGCACTGAAAACAGTATCCACATTTGAAGTCCAGATTGTTGATTACAAATACAGGTAAGCCTCGGCCTGGGCAGATGCTCTCACCTCTAGACTGAGCCACTTGCTGGTGGGCACGTAGCATTTTTGCAGTGGGCACTCTTGGCCCTTGCTGACCAAGAAGTGACACTCAGACACTATCATTAAGCAGAACGGAAGTGACAGGGGACTCGGGTTCAGGAGGGCTGCCGAGCTTTCTGAGGTCTCCTGTTCAGGTGCAATCTTATTTTTCTGGAGAAATAGTGAATCCAGATTTCCACTTGAAATTTCTGAATTTTTAAAAGTTAGCAGCTAGTATTAAATTTTAACATGTACATACATATATGTATATCTACATATAAGATATATGCATACACACCTGTATATATATATATATATATATATATATATATATATATCCTGTTAGCTAATGGATTTCAACTTTGAAGACCATTAACTAAAAAATCTTATAAAGTATTTATATTTCTTTTTAAATTTTGGTAGAACCAAAAGGCTTAGAAAGAAAACATGCTTCTCACTGCTGTCTAGTAATTCCTGTTGGTTTGAGAGCAGTCACACTGTAAATCGCAGTATGTCTCCAGGTAGAAAGAAATCTAGTAGAGTAAGAAAGATTAAAAGGGGCTGGAGAGATGGTCAGTGGTTAAGAGCACTTGTTGCTCTAGCCAAAAACCCGGTCTTGGTTCCTAGCACTCACACGGTAGTGAACCAGCTGTTTACTCCAATTCCAAAGGTTCCAATGCCCCTTTCTGACCTCTGGGGGGCACCAAACACACATGGTGCTGGCCAAACACACACATTTAAAAAAAAAAAAATGAATAAATCTAATTTTAAAAATTCAAAAAGAAAGCCCCAGAGAAAAGCGACAAAAAAGTGAAGTTTTCTGTCTATTCCTCAACCTTCCTGTGATCACTATCCCAATTTATGACAGTTGATAGTTTTTTTTCTATCACACACACATACACACACACACCCTGCAGAGGGTACCTCCCATAGATGCACTTCCTGCAGCTACATAAGCTTGGGAGTGCTGCACCTCATTCATCAGCTCCTACTTCCTAAGGGGATGAATCCTTAAGGATATGACTGTGCACTGGCCACTGGGCTTCAAAGCTGAGATCCAGGTATGGCAGACAGTGTGCCTCTTGTGTTGAGGACCTCAGACACAGAATGGAGACACAGAAGCTGTGAGACAGCCCCTGCATTTTAAGGCTTGCTACCATGTTCCACTGGCCTTCACTCACCTGACACCTGCAGCAATGCTCTGAGGATGTAATGCTCCCCTGTTCTCACAGTACACTGGGCTGTGGTGGCTTCTTCCATTGGCACACGAAGACATGTGTGGCCAAGATGGAGGCCTGGCATCAACCTGAAGGAGCCAGAGAGGCACCTCTGATGCTGGGCTGTTACCTGCTTTCTAGGCTGTCTGAACATTTTCCCGGTGAAGCAAGGAAAATAAATCCATACCTTGTCAGTCTACGGTGATCATTAATAACTGATTAGCATTGGCATCTGTGACTTCCAGTCCAAAATGGTTCCAGTCCAGCTGGCAAGTCCAAGGGGTTTACCTGTGTTTACCTGAGCAAAGATATCTGTCTTACCTTCCTTTTCTACTGCTGTGGTAAAAATACCTTGGCAAAAACAACCTAAGGGAGTAAAGTTAATTTGGCTCATAATTCTGGCTACAGTCCATCATTTCAGGGAATCCAGGTGTAGGGACTTGTAGTAGCTAGTCACATTACATTCACAGTCTCAGAGCAGAGAGCAGTGAATTCATGCCTGCAGGCCAATGCGCAGCTTACTCTCCTCTTTTCCTTCAGTCTTGGGCATGGCCATGAAATGGCACCACCCATATTCAGGGTGGGTTTTCCCACCACAATTAACCCAATTAAAAAAAAAAAAAACCCTCACAATCTACCTACCGGCCAACCCAATCTAGACAGTTCTTCACGGAGACGCCCTTTCTGTGTGATCCCACAATGGGTCAAATTAATCAGAATTAACTATCACACCGTCCTTACCTTGGCACCAGTCCACATTCCAGGGCAAACGGAGACACCTTTTCCTGGTGACAGGCACACAGAAAGATTATCTTCCTTTTCTGTTTCTTTGTTTTGTTTTTGGATTTTTTTAAAAAGCTGATTTAAGAAAGAATTTTCCTTTCCTTCTTAGATCTTTATCATTCTGGACTTTGGATACAGTGGGGCTGGGAGCACTTGTTCTTCTATGATTATTCAGTCCCTCCTCCCCCATATTCCAGTTCTTATTCCTCACTTCAGTACATTTCTGTGGACTGGTTTTGAGTGGACATGTTTGCATCTGCTGGTGTTACAGGCATAGATCAGAGTTTCCCGGGCTCTGAGGGGGCAAGAAGGGAGGCGAGGATGACGTTTGCAGTGACCTTTTATGGGTCGTTGACATACGCCTGTCTCTCTCAGTTTTGTAACGGGCTTTTCAGAGTGGGCTTGTTTGGCAGAACGAAGCACACGTCAGCTGAATGCTACCGGTGTCTCCTTTGCTGTTACCCCTCCTATGTTCATCTCTGGAGCTCCCCCACCCCCCACATGGCTCCCTATGCTCGCACTCCACTGGTATCTTGACTTTAAAAGAACAACTGTGAAATCTTAGTCTCCTGCAAAGACAGACAATGGCTGGTTGCCTCTGAGACCATCTTAGGTATGTGGCATCGAGTGACGTCACGTCATTTATTCTCTTTTTAACGTGATTATTTTCTTTCATGTGTGTGGGCATTTTGCCTGCGTGTATGCCTGCCTACCGCGTGTGTGCTGTGACTGAGGGGGCCAGGAGAGTGTCTCCAATCCCCTCGCATTGAAACTACAGATGGTTGTGAACTGCCGTGAGGGTGCTGAGAATTGAACTCAGACCCTCTGGAAGAGCAGTCAGTGCTCTGAACTGCTGAGCCGTCTCTCCAGCACTCCCATTCTCGTGTTTTTAGAAGTTCTTTTATTACTTGATGGGAGTCGTTTTCAGCTTGGGCTATTCTGGTATCTCTTCAGCACTTGCTCGTTCTCCTTTTCCAGGAAGAGGGAAGAGCGGGGCTTCCCGCTTGCTCTGCGCTGCAGTATTATCTGCCCATTGGAATGGTACCTTTTATTTGAATTCTATCGATTTTTGTAATTACGTTGATATCATGTGCCATGACTTTTTTGATTAATGTTCCCTTGAAAAACAGAAATAAAAGTTTGTGCTTAAAGAATGTGTTATCAAAGAATGAATTAAGTTATTGAATACTGGAGCGCACCTGACGTCGTCATCACAGCCCAGATGTGGAATGTGACACAGTGTATAAATACCGTCACAGAGGATCATGAACTAACTCAGCCTTTGTCTCGCCTCTCTTGTGTTGTCCCATATTGCAGAGAACTTGCGTTTTTAGATCAGCTGAGGATCACACACAACACGGACATATTTATTGGCATGCACGGAGCTGGCCTCACCCACTTACTTTTCCTTCCAGACTGGGCTGCTGTATTCGAGCTGTGAGTACAGGTGTCGGCTCTTAGCTTAGAGCCGGGCTCTGAGCTAAGAGTTTCAGTGTGGGCACTAGCTAGCCTCATATACTCCCGCCAAGCTACATCATGGTGGTGTCTGGAAAGGAAAGCAACCTCAGGCTAAAGGGTCTGAGGTCTGCCAGTGCTCTTAGGAAGCAGACACCCCCTCCTTCCCAGTAGCCTCAGTACCATTCGCAAGATGTGAGTCTGTGGTTTCCCAAGTTCCCAGAGTTTCCCAGAGTTCACTACTGTGTGCCTTTCACACTATAAGCACTCCCCTCCCTGGGACCAGAATAATTACTATGCTGAAAGAGAACCGGGCGCGGGTGGTGGGGATAGCAGAGGCACCATCTGCAAAGGTGGATTGCTTACCCAGCATGTATGAGGCAGAGACGGGGAGGGGGGTGGATCCATAAAGAGACCATTGAAGGAAAGGTTGATATAAACTTCCAATACTCTGCACGACATTTTCGAGCTGTTAGCGAGGTAGGAGGTGACTGGGACTTCTGTCTTAATTCGTTTGTCCTAGAGGAAGAGAGGGGCAGATGGAAGAAAGGAGAAAGTGGAGGGAATGCCAGTGAGATACTGGAGCCCAGGGGACCTGGGGTGGGATTTTGCTTCCTTCATTAAGCAGCTGTTTAACCTTGAATGTGTCACCTCCCTAACTCCATTTCCCACATATGTAAAGATAATATCTTATAAGATAGTCTCCAGCTCACAGGCAGGAGGACCTATTGAATAAGGTGCCCACTCCTCGACCTTACTCTGTTCTTTAAAAATTAAGGCAAGGCTCTGAGAATACTCATTTAAATTGTTTTTGCCATGCTGGGGATGATACCCAGTGCCTTATGTATGCTACCACAGACCTCAGACCTATAGCTCCCAGCCCTGAGCATGTTTGTAAAATTATCTCTCTCTTTTTTGTTATTTACAAACCCTCTAGCAAGACCATATTTGGGGGATGGATTTCCCACCCTAGATTGTTACACAGTGGGCAACCCCTGGGAAAAAGCCTCATGTTGTGACACCCCTGTGTCCTTAGGTACAACTGTGAAGATGAGCGCTGTTACTTAGACCTGGCCAGGCTCAGAGGCGTCCACTACATCACCTGGCGGAAGCCCAGCAAAGTGTTTCCTCAAGATAAGGTAACATTCAGTCAAATGGTTTGAAGTCCAGTTATTAAAATGGGAGCCATCACTGAGTCTCAAAGATACACTGTTCTTCTCTTGAATAATGAGGCGTGCTTTATATTTGTAAATTGGAGAAAAGCTCCATATTGCTAAAACAGCTTACATTAGATTATGTATAGCAGCCGTCAGCAAACTGTAGCTCTATGGTATAAATCTGGCCCATCAATTGTTTTTTGTAAATAAAGTTTTATTGAGAGCAGCCACATTTGTCTGCATATTGTCTAGGCTTGCTTGTGCATTTCCTTGGCAGAGCATCTGTGACTGAGAACAGATGGTTGACAGTACTGAAAACATTATTGGGACCTCTGTGGGAAAAGCTTGCCAGCCTCTGTTGAAAAGCATGAGTTAAAATAGTTGTCTTAGTCAAAGTAAAATGATTTCATTTCTGTAGAGAAAGCGTATCCTCAGTGACTTTGGGAATGCGTTCTGGTTTGTCTCTGCAGGGGCACCATCCAACTCTGGGCGAACACCCCAAATTTACCAACTACTCTTTTGATGTAGAAGAATTCATGTACCTTGTCCTTCAGGCTGCAGAGCATGTACTGCGCCATCCACAGTGGCCATTTAAGAAGAAACATGATGAACTCTAGAAATGTTGTCTGTTTACAAGAAGAGAGCGTTTAAGCACTCTCACATCCAGACTCACAGTCAAAGGAGCAAAACAGCCTGCCATAGCCTCCTGTAAGATGAACTGTGACTTTTGACTTTCGACTACAGCTCAGGATAGCCTTGAACTAACGATCCTCTGAGCCTCCTGAGTGCTCAGATTACAGGTGTGTACCACCGTGCCTGTCTACAAAATTACTTTTTCTACATGAAAACATACGTTCAGGATATTTTGTCTTTAAGTCTTCCATGTGTTTATCGTGTCGTTGCTATTTGCCGATAGCAATAGTATTTTGCACTGAAAAAAGTTACTTTTATAGTTCAACGTTGGGCCGGTGCCCACTGGTGTTACAGAGCTTTCCTGTCGGGATACCAAAGTTGTCAACTGAAGCAGCTTTAGAATTTGTAAGTGTGTTTGTTAACTAAATATGATTGTGATTTCAGAGTGTTCCACCTTGTTGTTTATGTACTTGGATGAATTCAAAACTGATTTTGTATTTGCCATTGTCTATTTATAATTATGGTTCTAGGGCCTGGGGACATGGCTTAATGTAGAATGCTGGCCTTGCATGTATGGGGCCCTGGGTTCAATCCCTAGCAACACACATGCTCAACGCACACGCACATCCACACACCAGCATTAAGTCTGTGATTCTCAGGACCAAGCTATAAGACTGTGTTATAGATCAGTGTTTAGTCAGCTCCAGGTTATGTGCACCAAGAACCTGAATAAATCAAGCTGTTGTATTAATTTGTGTTCACATATCTCATTCCAATCATGTTCTCCCCAAATGTAATGGCAGTGTTAATAAGAACCCATCAGACCTTTCTACATACCATCTCTGCAGACCCATCAGCCATGAGAACATTCATCTTGACTTGACATGAAGTGGTAGTTTCCATCAGGCAGGCATTTCTAAGCACATACAGCTGTGTGCACCTCCCTCTGGCAGAGTGAAAGTAACCCTAATATTTGTAAAAACTGCAAGGTGGCTACACGAAGAGACTCTTTCCCTATTAAAGAAAAAAGTAAGGCCATTGAAAAAATAGTAGAGCTGTGAATTACCCAATCAGAACGAAAAGCCCTAAGAGAGTGGCCCTGAGTAAATGGGATGGCTGAAGAGCAGGCTTTTCCTTGAATGGCTTCATGTCTCCCTGTTGGTGAGCATCCAGCTCGGCAGTCAGAAACCATGGATTTGCTCTACTGTACAGTGTGATGTTTGCATCTTACTAACATTTGAGTCACTTGACGTAGACACTACTTTTAGTTTTTACAGTGGATTAAACAAATTGCCCCCAAAGGATTTTATTTTTAAATTTTAGAGATGTGACACCCCCCCCCCCAAAAAAAAAACAATGTTGGTAACTGCACCTCCTCAGAAGTTTGCTGACTTTTGCTTTCAGGGCTTGGTAACAGAGCTGTACACTGTATTTATTAAAATATCGTTAGAGAAAACAGAGGCGCGCGATAGGCAAGACTTTTGATGGGTGTTAAGATTGTTTGGAAAGAATTGTAACATTGGGAACTGTTAGGTGACTGGTGGCTGTTGTTCTCTGTGCAGAGTCCCAAGTGAGCAGCGGGAATGGGGGGTGTTCTGTAGGAAAGGAGTGGGAGGATCATGTTGCCCAAGTCATCAAGGATAAACATCGGAAGACTGCCTCCGGAAAGCAGAAAGCCGTTTCATCCTCTTACCTCACTTCAAGCAGCACAGGACCTAAGCTTCCACAGACTACCTGGGACTTCAGTGACCGAGAACAGTTTCATAGTAAAATATATCTGAAGATTTTGCATTTAGACGGAATATACTTTATATAAATAAGAAAGTCATTTAATTAATTAATTAGTTATGGGACTTTTATCAATTTTTTTTGTGGGAGCAGAAGGTCTTCAAATTGTTGTAAAATTTAAAATGTAGACATAGCTCTTTTTATTAAGTCTGTACGGAGATGCCTGGCTTTGGAATAAAGCTTTCTATATTTCATTTAAATATCCGAACGTCTTCGGGGTTTTCTGCGTCTGAATGTCACATCCTTTGCTTTAAAAAAAAAAAAATCTGATAGCTTGTACATGATTTAAAAAAGTAATTAGCTCACTGATGAAGGGTTCAGTGCAATCAAAAATTACCTTACATTTAGTTAGCAGTTGTTTTATCTGATGCTTCCACAAATGTGGCCCTGCACAAGCCTTTCCAAAATGATGGGAGGATGGTGGCTCCTGATTTCAAGAGCAAGCCAGATGCTATTCAGTGATGTCCCCGAAGGTTCTAGGCCTTGTCATTCCACAGCCAGGTCTGCATTGCATTTGCTTGCCCATGCAGTCCACACCGAGCCAGCCGCCACGGTGTACCTGTCACGCTTACAGCCTCTAGGAAGACAGCTTAGGTTCCAGGAACTTAGGTTCTGGTAGAGGAGATGGGCACTAAGCAATATTAATGTAGAAAAGTGCAGTGTTCCAGACCCTGGTACTGTTGTGGAGAAAGCCAAAGTAAGAAAGGGGTGTGGAGTCTGGGCTTGAGTGGACGTTTGCATGCTCAAGTATAGGGTTCTCACTGAGGAGGTGACAGTTGAGTCTAGAAGACTAGAAGGAGGCGGGGGATGGAGGTTGGTTGACGATCTGACAAAGAGCGAACCAAAAATACACAACAGCAAGTACTAAATAAAGTTCTGAGGCAGAAGTATGTGTGTTGAGTTGGAGGAACAGCCAGTGTAGTTGGTGTGACAGAGGAGTCAGAGGTCACTTAAAGGATAACGCCACATGTTGAGGGTAAGGCTCTTGTCTTTTCATTCATTCTGAATGCATCTATACAAAGGAGTAAAGACCTGGCTTTCCCTTGGACAGGGTGACTCTTGATGTGATGGTGAGAGCAGGTAATAGGTAGATGTCTTAGGTCACGTTCTCTGGATCACAGACTCTGGGATGAAGGGTCACAAGATGATGGTTTATTGTGTGTGGATTCTCATGGTCAACACAGGTGAGGAAGCATGGAGTCCAGAAAAGGCAGGGACTGGGCAGGGGAGACATCACCTGGAGTTAAGTAGAAGGTCTTCAGGGACATGGTAGAACATAGGATCTTTCAGAGAAGTCCCAATAAAGGCAGGAGGTGTCACCATCCAGGTTGGAGCCAAAGAAGAGAATAGGAGAACCAGGGCAATTCCTCCAGCTGGGGGACAGTTATTAGAAGAACATGCTGCTGGGATCCATCAGCGTCCCCTACAACCTGGAGGCTGAGAGCCTGTCTGAAGGCAAGACACACAGCGCAGCTGATACTGTCAGGGAGGGCAGTGTGGGGGCTGGTTCCGTTCTCCCATCAACTTCTTGCCCGCTGGAAGTTTGAGTTTAGAGTCTTCATTACATGCCGATTTCATTTTTTATTTGTTTAAAAAAGAACTCAGGTAGATAATATCATGTACTTCCAACTGTAGATTATCAAGGGTAAGGATAGTTCTTATTTTAGGGGGTAATTTCTAGGGTAGGGGCCATACTGGGACTCTGTTGAGTATTACTAGTTAATTCTCCATTCCTACACCCTTTCTAAAGCCAAAAGATCATTCTCCTATATGTTGAAATAGAGCAGAGAGGAGAAGACGTGTGCCCAAAACCACTTGGCCAGCAACAGGTAGCTGGATGTAGAGGTTTCTTTATGAAGGTTTTAACTAGGGATGCTTACATGTAAGGTAGGTAAGGAGGGAGGGAGGGAAAAGTTAATGGGGAACACAGAGAATGGAAAAAAATGTCCTAAGGTTTCTTATAATTATCAAGTAGTTTTCTGAAGGTTTATTCATTATGTACACAGTGTTCTGCCTGCATGTGTCCCGCACATGAGAAGAGGGAACCAGATCTCATTACAGATGGCTGTGAGCCACCGTATGGTTGCTGGGAATTGAACTCAGGACCTCTGGAAGAGCAGCCAGTGCTCTCAATCTGTGAGCCATCAAGTAGTTTTCTTTGACATATAGACAATGCAGAGAAAATAGGAAAATGTTTTTCAACTGGAAGCGTGTCAATCAGCTCAGGTGTGATTGTTGCATTTGCTGCTTTTCTTGTTACTGTGTCAAAATACCCTACAAAGGCCACTTAAGAAAGGAGTGAAGAAAATATTTCTTTTGGCCCAGATTTCAAGCATGCATCCATCATGGCTGGCAAGTCATGGCCTCGGGAGTCTGAGGCAGCTGGTTGCGTCGTATCCCTGGTCATGAAGCAGACACTGATGAGGGCTGCTGCTCAGGGCTCAGTGAGTTTTCTCCTTTATACTCAGCCAAGGACCCCCAGTCCATGGAAGGGTGGTTCCCACTTTCAGGGTGGATCTTCATAGCTCAGTTAAACCTGCCTGGAAACACCCTCGTAGACACAACCACAGGTGTATGCATGTTCATGGTTATTCCCAATCCAGATATGGTAATGATGGTGAGCCATCACAATTGTCTTGGAGTGGAACCAATTATTTAAAATGAACCTCTGGGGATAGGGAAGGAACTCAGTTGGTAGAGGGTTTGTCTCAGGTGTGATGATAAACAGCTATAATTTCAGAAGTTGTAGCCAAGAGCCTCAGAAGTTTACAGTCGGTTTCAGCGACTGACTTTGAAGCCAGTCTGAGGGGCATGAGACTCTGTCCTAAAAAACACCACTAACAACAAACATGCCAACCCCTCTCAAGCATGGGATGTTGCCAGAACACTCGAAGACCACTCCTCTCTAGGACACATCAAAAGATGCAGTCATTCTTAGCCAAAAAGAGGCTGATGTGAACAATTTACTGTTTGTTCTTACTCTCTGTGGGCCGGTGTACCTAGTGGCCACGAGGTGGCAGTCAAGCCCTTCCAAATGGCCTCTGGGGCCTGTACTGCTAGCGAGACTCTCATCCTTCACTCTAGGCTTCTGAGCCTGGAAGGAAGGCCTGACTGCCACTACAGGGTGGTGGTGGTAGTGGTGGTGAGGGTGGGGTGGGGTGGTTGTGGTGATGGAGGTGGTGGTGGATTCCATTCCTTAAGTGAGGGCACCTGCAGTCACTGGGACAGCTTTCAGGATGACAGGGGATGTCTTTGCTGTGGCCAGCATTTGCATCCTGGGTAATACCTCATCTTGTGAAGCAGCAAGTGCTTGGTGGCCTGCAAGATAGTTCTAGTGACAGAAGCTGTTGGGCAGGATGCATGCTGGAAAGCCTGGGAGTTCGGCTGGGATCTGAGCTCTGCTGAAAGTCTGAATGTAGCATGGTAACATTTCAGTTCCACCTTGAAGCTAAATTCTTGTGTTGGTTTTATCATGGGCCTCACTGCTATTATTTTGTTGGGACAGAATTCTGATTAGTTCACTGATGGCCAGAAACCCAAGAATTATAGAACATTAAGGAATGTGGTTTAGTGAGGCGGGTGTTAGTATTGAGCCCACATGGGTGGGACCTAATGCAGTTCTAAGTGTGTGTTAGTTTTTTGAGTCATTGCTGTGACAAGATCCTTAACAACAAATTTAGGGAGGAAGAGTCTGTTTTCTAAGACAGTTTGGGGACACACTTCATCACAGCAGAGAAGGCAGGAACATGAGGTGGCTGCTGGTCATACTGTGTCCCCAGTTGGGAAGGAGAGATACTCACCTGCTTTCTCCCTTTTATTAAGTTGGGGACTCCACCCACATTCAGGCCAGCTCCCTCCTCAGGTAAATCTTTCTGGAAATGCCCTTTAGACATATACACACCTGAGTTTCTGCGGTGGTCCTAAATCCCATCATGTTGACAAGGACCGGTAACCCTTACAAAGTGCTTTCTTGCTGCATTTAATCTTCACAACTTTGTGCTCCAGCTTGGGGGATTGAAAGACACAGTAGTGGTCTTTCATGGTGTTTGTTCATTCTTTAATGGTTTTGTTTCCTATCTGACCCCAGGATGCCCTTCAGGCCCAGTATTTATCCACCACTAGCATGGACACACAAGTCAGAAGGTCTCAAGCTTCTAGGAGACGAGATACTTTGTGACCTTGGTTGTCCAACCCTTTGGAGTTTTGGATAAAAAATATTTTTTTTAAAATTATGTGTGTTCTAGTTTGCTTTCTGTTGCAGTGGGAGAAACAAAACAAAACAAACAAAAACAAGAAAGAAAAACCTACAACCAAAAGCAACTTGGGGAAGATAGGGTCTATTTGGCTTACACTCCCACATGACAATCCATTATTGAGATTAATCTGGGCAAAAACTTCTGACAGGAATTTAGAGAAGAGAACCATGGAGGAATCCTGCTTTGTTGGCTCATTTTCTTATTCATGCTCAACCAGCTTTCTTATACAGCCCACAGCTACCTACTTCCAGCTGATGCTATCCACAATGGGTCCTCTCACATCAGCCATTAATCCAGAAAATTTCCTCACAGATATGGCCACAGGCCAATCCAATCTGGGCAAACCCCTCATTTGAGACTCGCTTAGATGACCCCAGACAGTGTCAATTTGACAGCTGATACTAATTTCAGCCAAGTGCATAGGATAGAGTGAGGTTGTGCACAAGAGTGCAGTGCCTATGGAGGCCAGAAGAGGGCATTGTATCTCCTGGAGCTGGAGTTAAATTGTGAGCTGTAGGACATGGGTCTGGGAACCTAGGATCCTCCCCAACAGCAGTAGTACGTTCTTAACCCCCGAGCCATCTCGCTATCACTGGAGCTTTGCTTTTCTTACTTGTAAACTAGTGCTGATACGTATTAGGCAGGATGGATTTAAGGAGGTAAAAAGGAAATAAATCCATGCTCATTTGTTGCTGCTACACAGCCTTGTTCAGCAAATGCTATTATTATGTTGTGACTCGTGGATTTATTGTTATTTGGAGGCACAGCACCTGCGGACCATCTCAGTTCCGCTCTTAGGACCTCTTCCCAGGCCTGGCCAAACAAAATTTCTAGGGCACAGTCTAGTTGTGCAGTTTGTTAAACATCCCCAGGTGTTTCTGATTTAGAGTGAGTTGGGGCTGCTGGCTTAGGAGATATTGGCAAGCTCCTGGGAACAAGGCAGC